CACAGCACAAACACAACGGATCGCGGTATGCGGAGGGGCACTGAAGACAACATAGCTATAGAGCAAATGGAAGTCTTTTGATTTATGGTAATTTGTCAAATATTTTTAGATTTTTAGAATCGATGACTTTGAGCTGCGCAATGCATGGATGTACAAAAAGTTGTCGGACACCATTATTGTTCCATTGGATAGCTGCTTTTGCATGCAAGTAGTGTTTCTTGCTAAGACCACATCGCATTGTACTTGTATTGCTTTTCTCTCCAACTGAAAATCATTGGACTTGGCTACTAATATAGAATCATGTTAGAACAGATCCAAGGTGTGATATCATGCATTGTAGGACTGGCTATATTTTTCATTGTGCATTGTCTTGGATTGTCACAGAGGAAGAAGAGGAGGATGATGAAGAAGATGCACTATCTACTATCACCAGTCGCCGTTCGAAGATTCCCTGGAAAGTGTGCTGGCGGTATCTGTCCTCAGGTGGCTTTTTTATGGTGGTCATGATGATCTCATCCAAACTACTCAAGCATGGTGTCATGGTGGCCATCGACTACTGGCTCGCCAAATGGACCTCCAAAGAGGGAAATGACGTGGATAGCTTCCCAAGAGGTGGCAACATCACTAAAGACGAAGAGGTAAGGTCTTTCTTCAAATCCCAACTCTTTGTTCTTCGCTGTGATTTTTTAGCGATCGATACGCTGCAGGCCTGGATTGAGTCTCTCTGTAAATGTGATGATGTCACAGCAATGCTTTTCTGTCTTGTCCTTGTGTGCAGCATCTGTCCTATTACGTTCCAGTCTTCAGTATCCTCTGTGGAGCTGGCATTGTGCTGTGTCTCATAACCTCGCTGACAGTAGAGCTGATGGGCCTATCAGCAGCCACCAACCTGCACCACAACCTGCTCAACAAGATCATCCATGCCCCCATAAGGTGCTCATCTCACGGGCTTCCCCTGTTTCTGCTTTCCGCCTCCAGGATTGTGGTTAAACCTAAACAGCATTTCGCACAGGAACCTGTTAGCAGGACACTTTGAAAAATCAGCAACAAGATCCTGTAGGACACTCATGAAAATAGGCTTGTGAAATAAGGATTTTGTGCTTTGTGGAATATGTCCAGAGTTCATAATCCAATGAAGCAGCCACTTTGCCCAACAGCAAGATACATAAGCAGACAAAAATTGCATGAATGAGTCAAATGTGAAATATAAATCTTTGTAAGATGAAGGTTGTCTCATTGTACCCAAAAAGAGCTACGGGGTCCTGATTTCTGTGTGTCCCATGACAGTTGAAAATGTCATAAAACTGACCATGTTTCTGCATGTAAGATGAGAACTTTTTAAGTGTATTTCCAATGCATTTCCAGATTCTTCGATGTCACTCCGCTTGGTCAGATTCTGAACCGGTTTTCAGCCGACACCAACATCATCGATCAGGCAAGTACGCTGGAGGATTTCTGCCTCTTTGAATTCCTGTTTCATCACAGCGGGAATTAAGAAGGAAATTAAGGTTGTCATGTGAGACGTCCTCCACGCTGCGGGGGGTGGGGAAGTGGGTTCGCGGGGGCTGATTGATGTTCTTCTCGCCCCTCCTCCAGCACATTCCCTCCACCCTGGACTCCTTGACACGCTCCACGCTGCTCTGCCTCTCTGCCATTGGCGTCATCGCGTTCGTGACTCCGGCCTTCCTCATAGGCATGGTACCGCTTTCCATCGCTTTCTACTTCATCCAGAAATACTTCCGGGTTGCTTCCAGGTAATAACAGTAGAATCAGCTTCATCAGCTTCATCAGCTTCCTACTTCAGCCAATAAGTGTGGAAAAACATCACCAGATCCTGTCTGCTCCCTTTCCTCAGAGACCTCCAGGATCTGGACGACTCCACTCAGCTTCCCCTGCTCTGTCACTTCTCTGAGACTGCAGAGGGTCTCACCACAATCCGGGCCTTCAGGTGTCCAAACATTCGGTCCATAAACCCATGTTCCTCATTCATAATTCACTAACCTCCTACCTCTCCGTTTCCAGCCATTATATGAGAAATTCCAGGTGTATGAGTTGGCATCCCTTGTAGCCAGAGATGATTTTTGAGAACATTATGATCTGCTTGCTGATCTTCCTTGCAGTGTTCAGTTATTATTAACATATTTTAGCCATTTGAAAATGACTTGCTTTGCTACAACAGTCATTTTTTTATGTGTTTCTGTTCCTTAGACACGAGTCTCGTTTTAAACAGCGAATGCTGGAGCTGACCGACACTAATAACACAGCCTACTTGTTCCTCTCTGCTGCCAACCGGTGGTTGGAGGTCAGAACGGTGAGTGCTCTTTCTAGGGTCATACTCTCAACCCATCTACCACCGAAATTCTGATCATTTCTGACACAATGTGACAAATGCACAAGAGAAGTAAGGTGGTAATTTTGTGCAGCTTTAATGCTACAGTGTTAAATCGTAACAAATGGAGAGTTTGTAATTTTTGTTAATAGATGAGAGGTAATAAACGTTACTATGAGAGTGTTTCATGAAACGTGTTCTGGAAAAGAATATCAGGCATGATGACATTCCGTAGGTGTGTACTCAGTATATTACGTCTCCCGCAGGACTACCTGGGGGCGGTGATAGTGCTGATGGCAGCATTAGCCTCCATATGGCACTCATCTGGTGAGCTGAAGTCGGCTTTGGTCGGGCTGGGCCTGACGTACGCGCTCACGGTGAGTCCAGACTCCCCACACAGAGCCGCACAAGTGACTCTCTGCTGCAAATTCACGCACTGAGAAATGCAACAGCAAAGTGTATTGTGAACAATCAGCATATATGAGCCTTTTTGGCTAAAACCACTAAACATTCTACCATAGTTCCACGCTCTTTGTGTGTCAGAGTACGTCTGGGGTGGTCCTTCAGTTCTAACATTGGTATCTGTTCTAGATTTCCAGTGGAGAGTCAATTCTCTTTAGGTAGTCAGTGTTTATACGTGAAGGTCTTACTCTTTCAGGATTACTTTATGGAAAATTCCTTTAAGACTGAGTAGGCATATACTGTCAATAGTTATCACATTTGTTTAAGTTGGTCCTATTTGCCTGTCATTAGTATGGAAAGCTTCAGTAATGCCTTAACTGAATGTCTTCCAGACTATAGATAGATGTTTTTTTTCTGTGCCAAAATATGCCATGTAATTTATTTTTACAAAAATAAAATGATAAAATTATCTACAAAGAAAGTTAAAAAAAATGCATTTTAAGTAATTTCCTAGTCTTTCCAAAAAAGCCTGCAAAGTAAACAGTATGGACTAATATTTTATTCTCCTCATGGCTGCTTTCCAAACCCTAAAAGCGCTCAGTGCCACCATCCAGCTAGATAGAACCTGTTCACTCTTGGTTTTCATTCACTTCTGGTCTCTGTTCACTCCCAGTCTTCGTTACTCCCAGTCTTCGTTCACTCCTGGTCTCCGTTCACTCCCGGTCTTCATTCACTTCCAGTCATTGTTCACTCCCGGTCTTCATTACTCCCGGTCTTCGTCAATCCCATTCTCCGTTCACTCCCGGTCTTCATTCACTCCCTGTCTTCAGTACTCCCAGTCTCCGTT